CTCAACATTTCGCTCCAGCCAGTTTCAAACCGGTTGGCTTCTTGCGCTCCGGATTGCGCCAAGTTTTGCATACAAAAAATAGTACAAATCGATGTACGTGGTGTGATTTTATTCTTGCAACCCTTTGTAAATGAATATGCATATTGTACCTTCCTTGCAAAATAATCTTATCTCGGCATATAGATGCTGCTTAAAATGATGTATTTTGTAACCTTACCACAATTCTCTTTTGTCCTTGATTTGTTTTCCGTACTGGCGCAGCAAGTTTTCGATTTGCACACTCGGGACATGGCAGGCAAGTCGTCCCACACCATGACATCCAAGACTCCTCTTGTCTCCAACTTGGACACTCTTCCTGCTACCGTCCCTGCGTCCACAAAGGCGAGCATCCAGGAGTCCCTCGCGACGCTGCGCACGTCGTTCCGCCAAGGCAAACTTCGCTCGCTGGAGGCGAGGAAGTGCGTCTTGCGTCAAATCCACACGCTTCTTACTGAAGGAACTCCGTTATTGGAAGCGGCTGTGAAGCGTGACTTGCACAAACACCCAACGGAACTTCACGTGATGGAATTGGCCGGCGTGTACCACGAGATTCAAGAGTTCCTCGATTACTTGGACGAATGGGCCGCCCCCGAGAAGGTCGGCACCAACTTGATCAACCTTCCAGGCTCGTCCTCGATTATCAGCGACCCCCTTGGTGTGTGTTGCATCCTTGGCACATGGAACTACCCCGTCAGCCTCCTCCTTGTCCCACTCGTTGGTTGTATCGGCGCGGGCAACACGGCTCTCCTCCGATTGCCTACTGATGGTACCGCCGACCACACATCTGCTGCATTGGCGCATCTCCTCGACAAATACGTTGACCAGACCGTCGTCCGCTACGTTGCTGGCGGCATCGACGCTAACATTGCCATGCTGGCAGAAAAGTACGACCTGATCTTCTGCACAGGAGGTAGTACGGCTTTGCCACGTGTGAGATCGCATTCCAAAACCCGTGCGTAGGCACAACGATTGGCACGATCGTCGCACGCGCCGCCGCCGAGACACTCACCCCCATTGTACGCCCTCCAATTCAAATTTCACCATCGGGAATTCACCGAGCGTTCTGCCAATGTAGGTGTTGGAACTGGGTGGGAAAAGCCCTTGCATCGTCGATTCCAAGGTGGACCTGAACGTAGCGGCATCCCGCATCGTCTGGGGCGCCTTTGCCAACTGCGGGCAGACGTGCGTTCGCCCGGACTACTTGTTTGTGCACGCATCGGTGCGACGACGTCAACGTCATGGTTGGTCGCCATCTCACGTCATCGTCATGCAGGTGGCCGACACGTTCGTGGCGCTCGTGCTCGAAAAGATCAAGACGTTTTACGGTGCGCAGCCGGAAACGTCCGATTCGTACGGGCGGCTTGTCAACGCTGCGCAGTTTAATCGCTTGTCGAGCATCGTCGACGCCGACCGCGCGTTCATCGCGTGCGGTGGCCAGCGAGATGCTGCCGACCGGTACCTCGCGCCGACCGTGCTCGACTTTGGGAGCGATGTCGCCGCGTTTCAAGCAAGCGCGGCCATGTCTCGTGGCGAACTCTTTGGCCCAGTCCTCCCCATCGTGTCGTACACCGACCTGGATGCCGTGATCGACTTCATCAACGCGCGCCCAAAGCCGCTGTCGCTCTATGTGTTTTCCGACAACAAACAAGGCGTGGTCGACCCGGTGCTGGCCCAAACGTCGTCTGGCAGCGCCTGCGTCAACGACGCGCTCGTACAAATCACAAACGGAAACCTCCCGTTTGGCGGCGTCGGCACTTCCGGCATGGGGGCGTACCATGGCAAGCATTCGTTTCGCGCATTTAGCCACCAGAAGGCGGTCGTGCGAAAGACGACCAAGTTTGACATGCCCCAGCGATACATGCCGTACACAGCCGCGAGCAGCCGCATCATCAAGGCGGCCGCCAGCCCCATCACGCGCACGCAAACTCGGCTCTTTGTGGCCGCGGCAGCCGGGGCCGTCGTGGCCATTGTCGCTGCGCTTGTGTGGGCAGTTGTGCCCAAGTGAGTCGTGGTGCATAGATCAATTCTCTCGAATGCTGCTCACGATGGACTTCTTCGAGCGCCGACACTCGCTGCTAGAATACGGATGGACGGGAAGGAGGTAGGGGCCAACGAGCCTTGCAGAGGCCTCCCTCAAACCCTTCGTCGATGGCGGGAGTATGCGCCAACACGGTCGGGGAAGTGCTGGCAACGAGAGCGCAGTCTGCCACCCGACTGGTCAAATGACGACTTGAGGCTTTGGGTGTCGCGGCCACGCAAGTCGGCTGCACGCTCGACGACTCTTCCACCAACCGAGATGGCGGCGCTACCGATCGTTCTTGATGATTCTGCTCTCCATGCCTAGCTACATCTCCGACACTTGCATGGACAATCGTGTGGGGGCGCCTATCCTTCGAACGCCGACCGTCCAAGTCGGAGCCGTCGAGGAAGGCTTGAGGACGGGTGCAAAGCCTGCACGAGCGAGCGTCTGCATCAAGAAAACCTGGCAAACGGAGCATAATTTGAAGGATTTAGGTGCTGATAAGTTTCTCCGCAATGCTGAGCTGCGCTTGCGTCAAACTTGACAGGTACGACACCATGAGGAGGTCTTGCAGGCCGCTGTTGAAAATTTGGTCAAACACGTCCGACCGGATCGCCGGGATCGACGCGACGGCTTCCGCGAGCTCACGGCCAATCTTGGGGTTCGCTGTGGGTTCCTTGCCCGCGATGACCTTCTCCACGTAGTCGGCGCTTTGGCCGAGGAGAGCATGGAGACGCGCGATCGCGTGTTCCAGCGCTTCCAGGTCCGTCGGCAGCGACGTGGTCTCGGCAGTCGACGCCTTCACCATCGCGTCCACTAGCATGCGCATGAGTCAGATGCAAGGAAAGAGGGAAGAGGGGAAGAGGACGTACAAGCAATCGCTTCGGCTTCGTACGTCTTGGTGACAACCTTGACTTGCTTAAACTGGTTTGCGAGCGCCACGTCGGCCACGGTCAACGCGGACGAAATGAAACCGGAGATGTCCAAGCTATCCCCGCGGAGAGTCGTGTCGGTGACCAAGTGCACGGGGGTGGCGCACTCGGTGCTGTAGAATTCATGGATCAAGCACGAGTTCTCGTTGAGGATGCTGCCGTCCGCCGACGCAGTCGTGTACCACCCGACGACAACTTCGTTCGGGTTCACGCGTTGGTGCAGCAGGAGCATTTGGCGATGGTAGTCCTTCCCCACGGCAACGTCGTCACCTTTTTCCAAGTGGGGCACCGGGAACGAGTTGCTCACAGTCACAACGCCATGCTCGGAATCGACGACGCCGAGAAGGGTGCCGATGATGCGCTCCTGGTCCTCCGCGCGACGGAGGTAGCGGTCCAAGATCTGGAAGACCACGACTGGGTGCACATTCACCACGGACACGCCCTCCGTGTTCAGGACCACCGAGTTGCTCATCATGTTGCGGTGGGTTGGCAAAATATGGATGTCCAGTCAATGGCGGGTGTTTGGGCGCTTTTGATTGGCTAAAAGTAGTTCATTCCATCGATTGTAGCCAATCAAAACACAGATTACAATTCCAACATGCATCTAAGAAGTTAAGTTGTCGACTACCTCATCGGCGGCGACTGGGTCGGGAGTCGGGAGGGCGAAGGACGCGTCCACTGTGCTCGTAGCGGTATCGGGAGACGGTAGAACGAAGCCGGTATGGACAGTCTCCCCATGCCCAGGAGTGGTGTGTGCGAGAGACAGCCCGCCAAACAAGGACGAGCCGCCGACCTCTGGTGCTCCGAGCGAATCCGACGGTGTTGTTTGTGGAGCCGCGACAGAAAGGCCGCCAAAGAGTGACCCAAACGATGTAGGCGATCGGGGACCTTCCAATGTACTGTCCAGCGGCGCAAAGCTCACAGGTGACGTGGTTTGCAGCGACAGCCCGCCAAACAAACTTGACGATCCTGACGCAGGAGTTGGCTCCAACGGGGTGCCAAGCGAGAGGCCTCCAAACAAAGGCGAGGATGCAGGCGAGTCGTCGACTACAGCACTTTCCATTGCGTGCTCAGGCTCCTCTTCGTCGTTGTTGGTGAAATCTCCATTGGCAACGACAGGGCTCGTTACCGCCGCATGCACTTCCATGTCGTCTTCATCCTTGGCATGTGCGGCTTCTTCAATGGCTTCTCCAGATGGTGCTGTCACCATTCCATCGCCATCTTCCATCACTTCGTCAACGACGTGTTGCTCGTCGGCATGATCGGAGGCTTCGTCCGCACCGTGGTCTCCTGCTTCATCATGAATCGCGTCCTGGATCTCTACAGCCGCGGCTTGGACCATCGTCAAGCCTCCAAACAAGGACGTCGTCGGGGCAGCAGGCGGGATTCCTGCCATCGGCTCCGCTACGACAGCGAGTCCTCCGAACAAACTGCCACCACCGGCGGTCGGGCTGGTTGACTTGACGGTGTTTAGCCCCGCAAAGAGCGACGTGGACGCTGGAGGAGGAGCAAAGGCCTCTCCAGCATCAACGGGCTTCACCACTGCGTCATCGGCAGCATCGTGGCGTTCTTCAACGACTTGATGTGCCTGGTCTTGGTGGGTGTCTAGTTTTTCTTTGTCCTCCTCGGCACTCTCGGCATCGTCAACGACGTTGTCATCGCCAACGTCTTCCGCCGGGGGCTCCATCGCCGCCAACTGCAGTTGAATCTCCGTCTTTCGGGTTTGCGCCGCGACCAGATCTTCGTCCAAATGTGCCGCGATCTCGTACTCTTCTTCGTTCGTTGCGTGTTCGATTTGCCCCGCCAGTGCCTCAATGGCATGCTGGAGCGCCTCCAGCTCGGCGCGCAGGTCCACTTCGCTTGGGCCGCACGATCGCTCCTGTTCAAGGGCCGCCAGGCGCGCGACCCACGTCTCCAGCTGCTCGTCCAACTGGGCGGCCAGCTCGTAGTCCTCCTCGTCGGTCGCTGCTTCGATCTGCTTTTCCACCTCGGCGATCTTTTCCGCCAACGCTGCCGGAGTCATGTCCACCACGATCGTGCTGGAACGAGTCGAAGAGGACGGCGAAGCGCCCTCCTTCTGTGCCGGCGCAGTGGCCTCCGGTTTGGAACGTCTGGCTGACGAGATCGACTTGCCATTCGCATCGTCAAGGCCAGCCTCGTCGTCGTCTTCGCTGTCGCTCCACGATGCATCCGGCAACACGACAGCCGACGCCTCGAGCTCCTCCGGCGTTTCCGCGGCGAGAGGCTTCACGTACGGCTCGAGCAAGTACTTGTCTTCAAGGACTTCAATCTCGGCGACAACGTGGTCGAACTCACTCTGCACCAACCCAAGCGCGATCGGTCGCAGGAACGATCGGTGGTCGTCGCCATTCATCGGATCGTCTCTCGATAGCTCGCGCAGCACGACGCGCAAATCATGATGCATGTTGTACAGTCCTTGCAACGCCTCGAGGTCGAGCGTCTTTTCGGCGCCCTGGAAAGCGTCCGTCTTGGCCTTAAACGCCGCCTCGCGCTCAACGATCACGGCCTCGGCATCCTTGAGCTCCATCCCAAGCACCTCGATCTGTTCGTCGGCACTCGCGCGGTCCTTTTCAAGCTGCTTGATATCTTTCGACAACCGCGCCGCTTCTTTGAAATTGCGCTCGGCCGCCGCCTGTTTCTTCTCGGCCTCGAGCTGTGGCAACGCCGTCCCCGCTGTCATGATGACAGTGCGGAACCCAGCCAACTTGGCGTTCAAGTCGGCCAGTTGGTGCTTTGCCAGCGCCCAGTTCTTCTCAGCATCTTGCACGTCATCCCGCAGACTCGCGAGTTGCGACTCGACGCGCTTGGCGCGGTCTTCCTTGGCCTGGCGAGTCGTGTTTTGTTCTTCTGCAACACGCACCACAACCGCTGCGACGTGCAAATCGCGCTGGACACGCGCGAGTTGGTGGGCGAGTGCCGTTAGCTTGGCGGCAAAGTCCGCCTTGGTCGCTTCAAAGCCTTCCTGCGCGCGGTGCATCGCTGCTTCGTCCGCTTCAACTTCTTTCTTCGTCTTGAGCATGCTCTTTTCGCGCTCAACGAGGCGCTTGAGCTGACGGCTAAACTTTTGCCGCACGACTTGAATTCCTTCGTCCGCTTTGGCAATTCCCGCGTCCAGCTCGACCATGTGCGCCCTGCAAGTCGCCAGCTTGGCTTCGAGCTCGGCAATCTCCGCCGCCACCGTCGCTTGCTCCGCCAGCAAGGACTGGCGCAACTCGTACTCGTCGGTGCACTGACTCGCAATCGACGACTCGATCTCGGCCTTTTCTTCCTCCAAATGGACCATGTTCACCGTGACATGATGGAGCTCGGTCGCCACGCGCTCCTTCTCAAAGGCAAATCGACGACGCTCCGTGGCTTTGAACGTCTTGGCCTCGGCCTTGAGGGCAGCCAGCGCCGCCGACCGTTCCTCGTCGAGCTTCGACAGCGCATTCCACGTCCCTTTTGCGCTGCGCACATGCTGCAGCACCAGTTTTTCTTTTTGCTTGGCGACCGCGACACTATCTTGTTCGCACTTGCGGAGGTCGCTCTGCGCCAGCATCATGCAGTGGCGCAACTTCTCTATCGTGGCGTTTAGAGCGTCAGCCTTCTCAAAGTCTTCGTCTTCGGCCGCCTGCAGCTGCGACGCCTCCACTTCGTGCAAGTCCAAGTTGAACTGGGCAATTTGCTTGGTCAGCATCGATTTGCGGTCCAGGATATGCGACTCTTCGCCTTTGAGCTGTGCCAGACCGTTGCGGAACGCGGTTGATGCCACGTCAAGGTCGCGAGCGATGGACGCGACGCGGTCTTCGGGAGTCAAATTCGCCGCGTTCGTTGTCGGCGCAGACGATGCGATCGCGGCACTGGTGGAAGCAGATGCAGCGTTTGTTGACGTGTGCAGGGCAAACGACGGCAAGGACGCTCGAGGGCTGCTCTGGCTGGCCACTCGCGGGCTCAGAGCGCGCTGCGAGTGCGCCTTGACCAAGGCCGGAACAGTGGTCGTAGTGTTGTTGGCGAAGTTGCGAATGGTCATGTTTGCCAGCAAGCTGCTCAAGTCCTCCGCCGGCAGAGTTGCGCTATATCCATATATTGACGTGAGGTCCCCATGGCAGCGAGGGAGAGCAGGATGTGGACCGCAAAAGTACCTCGAGGAAGGCCCGGAACGCCCGAGAGCCGACGGTTTGGAGGTGGCCGCAGGAGTGTGCAGGGTCAAGTCCTTCAGGATCGAGGTCGACGAAGTTGCTTTGGTCACCGGTTGGGATGGGATGCTGGCTGCCGCCGACGTAGCTGACGAATTTGAAACGGAGACATTGGCATCGGGTACAATATCTTCGTGCTTCAGGTCGCCGCGCTGGAGGGCGGCGGCACTTTCATCGGACAATTGCCGACCAAAGCCTGGGCGGAACGTTGGTTTCTTCTTTTTCTTGACGACGGGAATGGCCGATGACGAGGGTGGCGTCGTCGATGGCGCAGCGGTCGACGGTGCAGATGCGACGGTCGTCGTGGCTTCGGGAGGTGCCATGTCCAAGTAGTTGAAGCCAGAGGACCCTCGCTGCGATCGCTTGACTGGCGGGTCTGGCAACATCGTCGACGCGACAGGAATGGACGTCGCTGCGGGAATGTTCAGTGCCGACAGACTTAATGGCGATGGGTTGGTTGATGGGGTCGGGACGTTTGCCACTGTCGAGGTTAATGACGTGGCAGCAGCGGATCCTCCCAATTCTAATCCTCCAAAGAGACTCATGGGTTTATGATCCCGTTGTGTCGATGAGGCACTGGGAATAACGGCAGGAGGGTCGCTTGTCGTCGCCGACTTCACGCTCATGCCACCAAACAGGGATGGCGGCGGGGCACCGCCGTTTGACGGAATTCCAGCGCTTGGGCGTTGGTACGGGTTGCTGGGGTTGAGTCCGCCAAACGTGGACGACAGAGGTTGAGTTCCTCCACCCATGACCTGGGTTTTCGCAGGTGAGTGACTGTACGATGCGTTGTTCGGGTTGGTGAACCCAGGTTGTTGGTGTGCGGCCGCAGAATTGCCAGTCACGGCAGGGGGCAGGTTGAAAAAGCCGCCTCCGCCGTTCGAGTCTTCCGTAGCGGCAGGACGCGGTTGAGGTGGGCCCACCGCATGTGGAGGTCGTGAACTCTTCGGCTCGTCCTTCTTGGTAAAGAAGCGGCCGAGCATGATGGTGTGACGTCGGCCGTCGCTTTTGGATCACAACAAGAATGAGAGTGCAATTAATACAATGCCTGTCACGAAATTGTTTTATGAAATATTTTATCCAAATTTTGTATTTGTATACTGCATCACACTTTTCAAATAAAACACTATTTTATTTTGGGAGCTGGCAGAAGCTCGGCAGGCGGCGGCGACGTGGGCCGCGGACTCTCCAGCATGCATCGTTCTTGAGGAAGACGAGGTATGTCTACACCAAGGGGATGCGCTCCGACAGGTTCATCGCAGAATATGTCTGGCTTCCCCGACGAGATCGTCGAATGGCACGAAACACAGCGAAGCAGATCGCTCCGATGACGAAAAGTGAGCATACCGCTGTCACAGGTGTCAGGCGGTCGTACGATCCACTCCGAACTGCTTGATACAACGCCACGTCGCTCGCGCTTTGGATGGCGTGTGATGGCGCAGTCGTCGATACTGGGGCGAGCGTTGTCATGTTCGTGTGTCTCGCGATGTACTTGGCCCATCCTTCGTGGATGGTGTATGGACCTCGAAGCACGTTTTGGGACATGATGACGGCAGCGAGAAAAAGCAAAAGTGAGCGCCTTCTTCCCCACGAGCTGAATTGCAATAATCAGTTCCGAGTGCGCAGCATATCTATCACCCTTAGCATCGCGAGCTGCACACAATGCACACAATGCACGTCAGGCGACGGTACACAGTACCGTTGCCAGGACGACTTCGGTCGATCGGCGTCCGAGGCCGTAGGCACACTGTCGATTTTGAACCATGCGACAACCCCTGCAGCAGCGTCACCATGCGTACTGTCGGGCTGTAGAGCATTAACCACCCACGGCATGGAGTGTTGACGTCGGTGTTCCGCCTTGGTTTCGTCCGAGTACACGGACTCGTTGGAGCAGCTCACGCGTATCGGTTCGTCCAGTCACTTTCACGACACGCAAAAGTGCACATTCGTCGCGGCCAGCACGACGCATTCCTTCCATCTACCGTGTTCGATGGCATCGACGCCATCGAGCGCGTGGACGAACATCGCCATGCCGTCCTCTGCATGGGCACTCGCCAAGTCCTTGAAATGTATTGGGTAAAATGTTTCCTAAATCGACCAATCCATTTGCACAATTGGCATGGCGAACCCAAACCAGTGAACCACACTGGGATTCACCACGATCATGCTGCGCCGAGTGCTCCAGGTCAAGGCGACGCCGTTCACCGCCCGGTCCATCTCGTCCTCGACCACGCTATTTGCATCCCCGCCGCCGTCCGATGCGACGAAGCCAGCCCTTACCGGCACGATCGACCAATTTTTCCCTACGAGCGGCACGGTGGATGGCAAGAAAGTCAAGCGCGGACCTCCTGTCGTGGGCGGTGACTGGAAGGCGTGGATGTTGCGGAACAAGTCCACAGACGATCTTCACAAACTCTGGTACGTTCTGCTCAAGGAGCGCAACGCACTGTTGACGGAACAAGCGGAATGCCACACCAAGAACATGGTGTTCCCGAACCCGTACCGAAAGTCCAAGGTCCGCAAATCCATGGCTCGTATCAAGCTCGTGCTTCACGAACGTAGCATCATCCACAAGCACAACAACGCCGCCGCGCCGGCGCCTCCCGCGACCGACAACGATATCCAAGCATAAACCGTCCACGACAAGAATACCATCCCTTGCATCCATTCGTCGCACCTTTGTTTCCACGTATTAAGCCGCGCGACCTTTGTCGTCGTCGATCTCTTTCTGCACTTTCATCCCACAGAGACGCCCGGCAAACAGGAATGCGCTGAACGTCGACTGCCGCGATTCGACGAGTTCTCGCGGGGTCTTGTTGGCGCGTGTAATGTATCGAAACCCAAGGCGACCCGTCGTCGGAATACTTGACGGCGAGTACATGGAGTAGATGCTCAGTCCTTCTTTGATACTCTGGTCGTCGAGCTTGATGAGGTCGAGCGGGTCGTTCGAGACCATCTCGACGAGCGTCATGACCAGCACCTGCCACACACCCGTCAACACTCCACGGCGCGCGGCATCGGTCGTACACGATGGTCGGGGTCGGCCATCGGCAAGTCGTACTCCATGTCGACATTCAACGGATTCAGAGTGTTCATGTACCCCAGGGCCGTGAACATCTAGTCCAAAATTGTTTATCGAGATGACGGCGGCGCGCCAGTACCGCCTTGCGATCCGCAGGAAGGAGCTTTTCGTACACCCCTTCAAAGTTCTCCATGTCGAGAATGGATCGGTGGGCGGCAAGGACGGCCTGTCCAGGTGCGTTAGTTTCATGGAAGAGGACGGCCGCATACCTTGAGGCGGAGGTTGTCGATGTTCTTGGGGAAGTACTGCATGAGCATGCGCACATGCTCTGCCATGATGTACTGACCGCTCAGCGCGTGTTGCAGCAACACCACTTGCCGCTTGAGGTCGTATCGCTTGTGCTGCGGGACGTAATCGGACCAGAGTTCGGCCCCGATCGTTTGCAGGAGCGCGTTCACTTGCACTTCGCCGAGCACAGACGTTGGAACGCCAGCATCGACATCTTCCGGGCGCCGTGTGCTGACGTAGTCGAATTCGAGGACACCTTTATTCGGTAGCCCATCGAAGAAGCGGTCAGTGAGCTAGGGGAAGAAGTTGGGGAGGGCTGCGTCATGGATGCACGTGAGCGAGAGGATGTACCTCGAACGCCTTGCCGTTGAGTTTTTCGTTTCGAAAGTTGGCAAACGTGCCGCGCTGACTTGTGTTGCCGCGGAATGCGAGCCGGCGCATGCTCTCAGTCGCTTCGTCGCGATTGATCATGGAAAACCACACGGCGAGCTTGCGGTGGATGCGATCCGACAGGTCGAGTGTCCACTTGCCCGTTGGGTTGACTGGGTTGAATTGCAGTACTTGTACGCCATGGGATGACATGAGCCGATTCTGATCGCTGAAGCTCAAGTGCCGCAGGAGGAACGGAAGCGTCTGCGTGCCATCGACAATGCAATGCAGCGTCCTGCAAGCACGCAACCGTCAGCGTGCCAACCACGATACAACATGAAGTCCCGTGCCTTGCCATGATGTCCACGACGTCGATGGTCCCGAGGAGCCCTTTCACGAACAGCTCCACATCGCGCAAGTGGAGGAACAAGTCGGTCGTTGCCACCTAGGAATACCGAGAAAATTTACGATCCGACGACAATTTCACACTATATCCAGGGATGTGCCCTCGATATCACACTATATGCCAAACCATACTCAATATGTATATGCATTCAACACTATATCACGTTCAGCGAAAGCAATGTCCACCCAATACATGACAAACCTCAAGCATGGCGCACATTTCCCGTGTGGAGATGCGATCTTTGATGATCTTGATCACGTTGCGCAAGCCGTCGGGTGTGACGTCGTCGGTGGTTTGAATGCGCCATGGAACATACCTCGCCGAGATGCGCAAGATGCCACGGTGCCGTAGGTCGAACTGCTTTGTCGACCCCTTCTCCACAAGGCCGTGCGCTTGGTCACAGTACTCGAGCTGCTGGACGTTTATGTTGGCGGGCTTGGTAGTAGTCGCGTTCTTTCTCACATGGTGCTCGTGATAGTCGCCTTCGGCAGCAGGCTCAAAGGTCACGTCAAATAACTCGCACCGCTGCGCCACGGCCGCCGCCACCAGCTGACACGCGATCACGTACTCGTACGGCGACGTGTGGAGGTGCAACTCATACGGCGACTGCGCAGCGGGAAAACTAGAGTCGAATACACTCGCAACCGCTGCATTGTTGGTGTCTTCACCGCCGTAGAACGATAGCCGAACGCTGCATCGGCTACCCCTGGCCACCGACCGCAGCAGTGCCTTCGTGCCCGTGCATCCGAGAGGGTTGTCGACGAGCACAAGGTTGTACAATGCTGCCTTTGGGTTGTGCTCGATGGCATAGCTGAGGGACACAGCAGTCGACCCCATCAGGTTGTTGCGCGTCATGTCGACCGTCCGAAGAGTCGTGTTGACAAGGAGAGCGGCCGCGACCTGGTGGCCGCCGTCGTCTCCAAATCGGTTCATCGACAGGTTCAAGTGCTGCACGGATCGGTTCGTTTGGAGCGCATGGCCGATGGCGGTGGCTCCCGCGTGGCATATTTGATTCCACGACAGATTCAGGTCCTGGATCGTGCATGTTGCCGCGGCCAGCGTCGCGCCGAGCAGCTGCCCCCCCACGTCGCCGATCTCGTTGTTGGTCAAATTCACACTTAACAAATGCGGATGGATCGCGATTTCGTTTGCAAGCGACTCGAACGTGTCGAGGAGCTTTGTCTGGGACAAATCCAAGTGGGTCAAGTTTGGCGCGGAAAAGATAAAATCGGCCATGGAAGCGCACCCGGCCTCGCCAATCTATACACCACATCTCGCATCACGAGAGGCTTGAAGGCAGCAGAGTGCCGTGTGCCCACCGCACAAGACAGCATTGCGTAGCTCCATGGCACGCCATCCATCGAGTGGTCTGGGCAGTAGCAAAGGCAGCGATGGGCACCGTACCTCGTTGACACTTAGGTTGAGCGAATGCAGCTCGAGGCGACCGCTGAGTTGCTGCACAACGGTGGCGATTCCGGCGTGGGTGAGCCGGTTGTCGGTGAGGTTGAGCGCGTGGATATCGGGCATGAGGGCCAAACTAGACCGTGTGCACCGCCATGCACGTCAGCTTCGACTTTTGCGCTTCATGAACAAAAAGTGGCCGCACCTCTTGGACAACACGATCGCTTTCGCATCGCCCAGCCCAAAGTGGCTTAGTTCCAAACGACGGTCGGGGGTGATGCGCGAGAGCAGGGGCTCTGGAAGGATATTCGCCGCCGTGCACTCTTCGAAGTAGAGGCTTCGGGGGGAGAGCTCGTTGCAGACAGGGAATGCCGTCGCAACTTCTTTGCGGTGGTTTCGTCGGCGGCACGTCTGGAGAGCCCTTCGGTGAGCCAGTTCCTCGAGGGTTTCATGGCCGCGGCTCGTTTGGAGTTTGGACCATTTCGCCAGCATTTCGACCTGCTTGACACGTGAATCAAACCGCACGGGCGACCGGGGGAACCTTGTTGGCATATTTCTCGGTCTTGGCCTCCTCCGACGTGTATTTGGCGAGCGTCTTGAGCTTCCTGGCGATCGTCGGTTGAGGTGGTCGCAACCATCCATCGAGAGAATAAGGGCGAGAAGCACGCAGCGTACTTTCGAGTGGTCAGGGTCTTTGGTACCAGCGCCTTGGGCGCCTACAAATGCGCAGGATGAACGAGAGCCTCAGGGCGACCGCAACTACCTACATACCGACGATTTCGACGTCGACTGCTGGCTGGAGCTGCCACGCCCTCCCTACAACGCAATGTCAGCTATTCATCGCATCAAGGCGGCTTCGGACGGCTACAAAAGTCGACGGCGCATTCAGCAAGTACTTACGCCATCGTCGCTGTCGCTGCCCGACTCCTCCATGTCATGAGTGGGTGGAGGCGGTGTGGTGAGCTAGGCGCACACGTTGTTGCTGGCACAGTGAAAAACCTGTGTTACCGGCAGTCGCAGCATCTTCTCGGCGACTTGGAGCTTTCGATCGAACGCATGCTTGGCGTGATCTTGGTCCCCGAGCCGCTCGTGGCCAGTCTTGTGGTCCATGGGGTTTTGGTACTGCGGCTGGACCTGCCATTGCAACCTCGTGGTGCTCACGATCGCTTCAACGTTGTCTGTGGTCGCCAGGTCGTGGCCCTCCAAGTTCAAACTCGGGTACTATTCGCACAACACGCATCATGCGATCGCAGCCACATACTCGCGCCAAACGAACCATGAACTTGGCCATATCGTCAACTATCGCAACCCATTCATGGTTGGGCGTCGTCAGCGACGCGAGCTTGACGTCGCGCGTTCGCAGCATCCTCTGGACGTGTTCAGGCTCGTGAATGGGTAGATGGAGCTGCTGCGCCGTTGTCTTGACGGCCTGGTCCTTGGCTTTGTGGGCGTGCTTGGAAAAGATCGGCTTGAGCTTAGCCAAACACGCCAGGCCGAGCTTCGTGTTGTGATTCAACGTGTGCTTGGGTGGGACGTGGCTTCGGTCGGGACGAGAGGGTGTCGCGGTCGGCTGCGGCATGGGCGTTTTGGCCCGTATTACACCTTCTACCTCCACTGGCCCAACGATCACATCGGGGGACCGATGCCTGACGTCGGCCGGCAATTTGGCCGGCGGCGGCATGGTGAGGCCGCCGTCGAAAAGTGTAACTGTCGCCACCACGACGGTTTCGACGACCAACACGTCGGCACCAACCCTCGGCACCCGGCAAGCGTCAAAGCCCGACCGCGCATGGCCACACCTGCATGATGGACGTGCCCAGGAAGCGCGATCCATCCCATCCCTTGAAACCGCCCCTCTGATGTACCCGGGAGTGGCTCCAAGTTGCTGCCATGCCGTGCAATGAGTGCTTCAGTGTCGACCCTAGATGAGCACCGCTCTCCGACACAGAAAGCATAGCCACTCAGGAATTACAAGAGTGTACCGAGCGAAGGCGGCAACCTGTGGCGGTGCCAGCCGCCGTCGAGCCAAGGCAACTGACCAAGGGCGGTGCGAATCTTGCCATAACCACGCAGGCGAGCGAGATGATGTGTGGTTCAGCGTCCGTCGAAAACCTTAAGCATGCACGAAAACCGAGAATTGTGTCGCACTCGAGTCCGTTATCTCATTTCCAGCATGTTATATGGGACTACTCCGAGGGTAGATGACCATGACGGACCGAGTCATGGAGCCGACGTTGTCGGGCGGCGCTTTTGCGTTTTCAGTCGGAATCCGTGGACTGGATGGCACGACGACAAAGAGTCTGTCGGATCGAAGCCGCGATCTCAAACGTGCGTCGGTGGCACACCCGCAGACCGATTCAATCGCCGCGATCGCCGCACGGGAGTTGCTTCCATCAGACCACTTTCCTAATCGGACGAGTCAGGTTACCCACTTCAAGACACGTCCCATGGGTGTTCGACCTCGTGTGGAAGCTGCATGGCGTAGTAGCTGCCGGACGCAGCGAGAAAGTTGTCCATGGCCGAGGTTGCCTTGTCCGTGCGCGGCGGGGCCACGGGGTGCGGTGCCTATTCGATGCCATGCTGTTGAGCACCACGAAAGGATATCGAGAAAGAAGCGCACCGCATCGACGGGTGGATGCTTCTTTCGTGGAGGCGAGAAGAACCCCTCAATCGAATAGTCGTGGTCGCCGCCACGCCGGTGGAACTCACTGATGAGGCTAAATGCCACGAGAGTTACCAGGGCTGCGAAGAAAACCATCGCCGCTTGAAGGAATGTGATGGGGAATTCGCGGGGTGGTCGCGAGGGGGATGATTCTGCTTTTGGTCGACTGGTTGGCGGTCGTTGCGACGGGCTTGATGGAGTCGCGGTCTGCTTCTCGCGCGAGGGAGTGGGTGGAGCAATAATCGTGACTTGAGGATGAGCTGCTTTGGCATGCGCCGATGAGGAAACGTCTGTCGTTGCGCTGGTCGTTGTGGTGTCCCCGGACGGTGGGTCGGCATCAGGGCTGTCGACGGTCACGATGCGGTTGGGTACCTTGCCCAGATTATCTAGCTGAGAAGGGTGTTCGGTTGAAGGGCACACAGTTCGATCGCGAAGCATGCTAATTGCGTCCCGGATGCTGCGAGTAGTGTCGACGAGCAGGGATTCCATATCCGCTCTTCGTTCCACCATCACCTTCTTGATCGCGTCCACATGCTCATCGCTCTCTCGCAGCATGTGATCCTCTCGCAGCTTGCGCAGCGCTGCAACTTTCCAGATATCGCCGACTGCCGCCTCAAACGCCGCAACGTCCGCCTTGAGGGCGTTAAATTTTTGACGAATCGTGTGCTCTCGCTGCAGCAGAACCGTCTGTGTGGTGACGAGGGTCGCGCGTCTCTGTTCCGGTGACTCCGTCAGCAAGAGCGGTAGAAAGTAACCCACCATTCCTGACGCTATGCACACAGCGACGACCTTCCACATCCACCTCGGCGCGTGCCTCCTCTCGGTCGTCATGTTCTTGTGTCGGTAAAGGTGCCCGCGCTGTCAATTTGAAGGCAGCCAATCAGGGGATGGTACTTATCCGGACGGTTCAAATTAACCGGAGTGGCGGGAAGAGCGGCAGCGCCATGAGTTCGTCGCGCGCGTTCAAGGTGGCGTTCAAGTGCAGTGCATGCGGCAAGTGCTGCACAGGAAAGGGGGGTAAAGTCCGAGTAAACACGCGCGAGGTGGAGGCGATTGCGGATCACCTGTCGATCCCGACGAAGGAACTGCGACGGCATTATCTGCGGCGTCATCGTGACGACGACTTCGACTCGCTCAAACAAACGCCTGATGATCGCCAGTGCATCTTCTTGGACGGAAAGCAATGCTCCATTTACCCAGGTACTCTCTTTATGAACGATGCAAGATGCGTGTACAGCTCAAACTGATTGCAGTCACTTGTGGTAGTCCGACCGACACAATGCCAAACATACCCATTCTGGCCACAGCAACTCATCTCCAAGTACGATTGGACTCTTGCGTCCAAAGAATGCGAAGGCATCCTTCTTGACCCATCAAGCGACGATGACATCATCCCGGACGACCGCATTCTCAAGGAAACAGTCATCCACGAAGTAGAATATGTCGACGTCGTCCTGTCGGTCTTATACACGTGGACTGTGCAGGTGCATCGATCTGGCGAAAACATCACGTACAACGAGATCAACGAGCTCGTTGCCGAGTTGGACCCCGATATGCTACATGCATTTGATCAGGTTCGTGATCCATGTCGACGAATTGTCATCGTGTACGCATGGTAGGAAGTCGCATCCAAGTATCGCCGCAAGATTGTCTACGAAGACCAGCATGTCGTCGTCCTCGACAGCTTCTTCGGTATGCACCCGCACCTTCTCCACGATTTATTATTCGTCCATGTCCAGACAAGTTGCCGCCGACGCGATCCTTACACTTCACGGATCGACTCCAGTTGGTGCAGAGTGAAGTGTTCTTGACACATGTAGAATAATTCCTTCACGCGGTCGCTGTAACCCAGCCGCCTTGTAGGAAGGGGCAGTCGACCACTCGTACTTGTCGCTGGACGTCCACCGGGGATTGAGTGTAGCTTTGGGGTTCCTCGATGACTCACGACGCTCGTCGCAGTGGCGCATCGCCATGCTTGGTGCCGGTGCGAGCGTCCTCCCGACGTTTTGGCACCACCTGATCACCCGCCATCGTCCCGTCCACATCCAAGTCGTCGAGCCGAGGGAGGATATGCTTCGCGCGGGGTACGACTTCAGTCTCATGGATTCGATTCTCATCTCGATCGATACGGCAGGCGCGAGTACTTCGACGCGGCCGACGCGTTGCAAGTCCACCAACAGTTTGGGGAATCATTCGTGTCCGAGTCTCTCATGGCGGGGGCGTTGATGGACCTGATCGTTGTGGACGTCGAGGATGGTACAAGCCATGCCGTGTCCGACGATCGCGGCGACGGACTGCTGCGAGCGCCACCCGCGTCAATGACGTCGTTCTCTTTTCTTCAGGACATTCGACAACTGTTGACGCCACGTGGAGTCTTTGCCGTCAACGCGATCGACGGAGACAAACCCATTGGCGAACGCGCCCCCCGTGGAAGCAGTGTGCACTGCTTATCGCGGCGGATGGCGGCCGTGTTCGATCAAGTGTGGATGCTCGAGTTGGCCGCGAACGTAATCGTGTTTGGTGTGAAGGGGGACTCGACATCGTCGGCGGGACCGTCCGGATGGAGCGACGAAAACGACGCCCTTCAAGAAATCCTGGACGAATTCCGACCAAACCTGCGCCGCGTGCAGTAGCCACCCGATGCCGCGGGCTTGCGCTCACACGACAAATACGAGCTCATTTGTCTCCGTGTTTTGGCATCACCATGGACGCGTAAGTTGGATGCAATTCCCACAACACGGACACTGGCTTGGCGCGGACCGTCGTTGGCTTTGTCAAATGCACTCCATCCTTCGATTCCTTTTGCATGGAACGCCACGCGACGATTCTGTCTTCGCTCCACGTGGGCATCAATCTCGTCGTCGAAACCTCGCCATGTCGAAATGCAGCACCTTTCCATGATGTGTGTGGGCAGGATAACTCGCGCGCACAAGATCTCTGAATCCCCGGGTCTGTTCCGTAGGTTCAGGAATGGGAGTGACTGTTGGATGTAGCTGCCCATGGCATGGCCGTCGACAGCATCTCTGCATGCCCACGCACGCGACGATGCACATGCAGAGAGGCGGGGGATGTGCCTGCTCAGCCGAAACGGAGAGATGACTGTGAATTCGCAGTCTTCGCAAACCCAAAGTTCCTCGACGTGTTGCAAGCACAACACAGTCCAGCTCCCACATCGACGACGTTGTAGACCGAGGCAGTATGCCCTGCTCCGTCCCTCACATCGTCGCGATATGTGCAGCGCTGTGGGGCGCAGCAATCCAGCGACGACTGCCTGTGGCTGCCCACCTGGCATCTCCATGATGAATTCACTTTTTAGAATTTCACGCTTCTCGTTTAATTCACCGGCAGTTTCATCCAAGCAGTTGGAATTTTCGACCGTCTCGACGTACCAAGCGGCGGCGGACAAACCCAGGGATGGTCCCGACGGCATCGGCAAGCACATCAAAGAAGGTGCCTGGCAAACACACACCGCCACGCAAGGTCATGAACGCGTGGTGGCTCTTTAACACACACACGACCCGTGGCGCCGACGCGGACAGCACGCTCGAGATCTTCGACCACGCACCGACCGTCAAAGTAAAGTCTGTCCGCATCGAGGACGACTGGCCCGTCAAGACGGTCGAATTTGAAGTCGAAGTAAGGCCCGATGCACCTCCATGAACATGCATGATAGTGATTGCTCTAGCTTCGGTACAGAGGCATCTCCCGCGACATTTACCTGCCCAAGAGCAACGTGTACCGGCTGTGGTTTTACATCAAGGGACATGGGTACGTCCGGACCGTGACGCCCGCGACGGCGCCGGCCCACACCAGCCCACCAGCCGCCGTCGTTATGGACGACAATGCTGTTCCCGCAGAGATCGAGATGCCACAGCTGCGCGACTTTTTGTTTGCCAACTCGCAAGCGTCGACAACTCCCGACATGATCTCGCTCCTTGAGACGTATCTGAACGCGGCGCTATCGATTCCCGCCGTCCGTTCGTCGGCGTACGTGCTGTCGCTGCTTCAAATCAGCGGCGGCACGTTCGACGAAACGGGGTTGGTGACGTCCCAACGCGAGGGCTGGCTTAAAGTGCGCATGTGGCTCCGAGGCAGCAACGGTACGCTCCCACCACCGCCGACAATCCCTCGCCCGCCCACTCCGTCGTCTAGACAATGTTCGGCTTCACCGCGGCACCGTCATGTGCGACAACGGTTGTTTCAACTGCTTTTGCGTCGTCAAAAAGTACGCGTGGCACACGTCGCAGTGGAAGTGGGTCGCTCTCAAGGACTCATGCATCGCGATTTACGAATCGAATCGGGTTTGTCGAGCACGTCGTGATGGTGGCGCCGCTGACGATTGCCGCAGGCCATCACACCAACGGATGTCGTTCTGTTTGATGGCGGATTCAAGCTCGAGACGGGCCTGCGCGCCGTCGGGTCGGCCAAAGAGTTCGTCCTGACCACGTCAGCGTACGTCTTGCATGCAAAGGCCCGCCACAAGAACGATTGCGTCAAGTGGGCCAACCAGATCCGATCCGGGGCAGAAACCAGCGAGTGGACTCGCCGAAATCGCCGGGACGGATCGTTCGCGATGCCGCGGCGACACATCCACGTGCCGTCGCGGGCGCAGTGGTGCGTGGGCACCGTTCAACTCGACCACAACGATTGCATAGGTATGTTGACGGCGAGGAAACGTATGCCGCGATGCATGCGGCGATGATGGCGGCGACGTCGGAGATTTTCATCGCGGGGTGGTGGATCTGCCCCACGACGTACTTGCTGCGTCCTGCGACGGACGCGTCCCGACTCGACCTCGTGCTCAAGCGCCGCGCCGAAGACGGCGTCCAGGTAAGGCATCCACTTGCGGCACACCTTGTCGACGGCATGCCCGTAGGTGTACGTGCTGATGTACAAAGAGATCTCGATGGCGCTGTCGCTCGACAGCCAATTCGCGAAAAAGTCGCTGCGACGGCTGCACCCAAACATTCACGTGCTGCGGGATCCGGACTTTATCATGAAGCAACTCGGGCTCTGGTGAGCAGCGTCGTTGGTCGGCGCGACGACTGACATGGACGCAGGTCGCACCACGAAAAGATTGTGTGCATTGACCAGACAGTCGCGTTTGTTGGCGGGCTCGATCTGTGCTTTGGCCGGTGGGATAATGCCAAGCACAACTTGTTTGAGCCCGAGCCGCAGACGTTTCCAGGTCCGTGCCGTGCCCAGGACGAGCTCACGCGGGTTCCGGTCGATCGAGTAGGCAAGGACTACAGCAACCCCCGCATCAAGGACTTTGTCGACGTCCATCGGCCAGACATTGACCTCATGGATCGCAATGCCAACCCGCGCATGCCGTGGCACGACTGCCATTGCAAGTACGTACTCGAGCGGGTGGTGGGACCTTGGATCGCCTTGACACGTGTTGTTGGCCGTAGACTCTTGGGCGAGCCCGCCAAGGACGTCGCGCGCCACTTTATCCAGCGGTGGAACTATTCGGTCAGCACGCGGTTCAAAATGCACCGATTTCACCACTTGGTGCCTGCCACCGGATGCAAGCACATGGCGCTATCGAGGAACGTGGCGACCGCGCCGCCTATGATCCATACGTGCACCCGCAACCCGCGGCTGTCGCTGTGCGTCACGGGGTTTAGCCAAGCTACGGCGCCCGCCGTCGAGCCCGTTGTACCTGGCACGGAAGGCATTGTGTTGACCGACTCGACGGACGGGGCGACGAAACGAGCATCGGTGCCGAAGGGGACCACCGCAGCGCCGACGCAGCCGGCAAACGACGACAAGGACCGGAACGAATCCACCGACCACGTATCGGCCAACCTCTCGCCCACGACAATCGACGACGGATTTGCATGCAACTGCCAGATCGTGCGAAGTTTATCGACTTGGTCGGGGGGCTGCAGCACGGAAAAGAGCATCCAGAACGCCTACATTCGCGTCATCAACGACGCGCGCCACTTTGTCTACATTGAGGTAATTTGCGGGCGCGTTTGCCCGGCGCTGTCAGTGGATGTTTGTTCCCACGGCGTCGTAGAATCAATTCTTCATTTCGAGCATGCAAGGCGACCCACTGTGTCAAAACCTGATTGCCAACGCCCTCGTGAGCCGCATCCTCCGCGCACACGCCGCCAAGCAGCCGTTCCGCGTGATGGTGGTGATGCCGCTCCTACCGGCATTCCAAGGCAAGCCCCAGGAAAAAGAAGCGTACAGTCTTCGCGGCGTCATGCACTGGCAGGTGCGATTCCGTTGTCGATCGAGCGCCGACGCCATTGCGTGGATAACGTTGTAGTACCGAAGCATTTGCCGCGGCGACGGATCGATATACCATCAACTCAGCGCCGCCGGCATTGACAACGCATTCGAGTACATTGCGTTCTTTGCCCTTCGCACGCACGCCATGCACGATGGGGTGCCCCACACGGAAGAAGTCTATGTCCACAGCAAGATCATGATTGTCGACGATAGCACTTGCATCATTGGGAGGTAATAACGTGGTGGTCCGTAGTGCGTGCGCTGGTTGTTGCACTCGAGCGACCATATCGATGCAGTGGGGTCGTTCATGCACACATTGCGCGTAGTGCCAACATCAACGAGCGCAGCATGTCGGGCGATCGCGACTCGGAAATTGCCGCCGTCATCGAAGACGTCGAATGGGTGCCGCATGTGACGTTGGGTACGACTGCTATGGTATTCGTGGGCGACGTGACACTGTGTGGTGTAGGTGGGGCGGCGGTCGGCAAATTTTGCCACTCGTTTCGCATGCGCCTCTTTGACGAGCATTTTGGGCCGGCTACCACCGCCCAACGCGGAGGTGTCAAGATGGCGTATCGCGAGGACCCGACGTCCGCCGCGGCGTGGATGGCGCTGCGCCAGCAAGCGATGGCCAACACCAACATTTACGAAGCCGTGTTTGGGTGCCTCCCTGCCGACAGCATTCGCTCGTTTCACGACATGGGCGTCGCTTTCGTACGTCGACCGTGTCTACACCGCCGCCGCGTTGTCGCGATCAAGAGGCTGTGTAGGTGGCAGAAAGTGTGCGGCATCCGTCGGGCCGGTTTAGCCAGCTGCAGCACGACACGGCATCATCGGCGGACACTGCTCGGTCCCACCGGCACCACCTCGACCACCACGATTCTCACCAGCCGCTCGAACCAGCGACGATTCCTCCGCGGTCACCGCATGCCGCCACCAATTGCAACGACTCGGTCCAACGACGTGGCTCCATGGAGAACGGGACCGCGCCTTCGACGAAGCAAGGCAGTTGGCGCTCCACGAGCTCGCGAGAGCAGGAAGCCCACTCGGTCTTTACAAGCGCGATGCGCGCGTTTCGACGCGAACAGACCGTGACCAAGGACCTGCGCCCGCACTTGGAAGATGTTCACGGCCACATCGTATACTTTCCACTTCGTTTTCTCGAACGTGAAGACCTCGAGCCCAAGTTGGTGCCGACCGAGCTGCTCCAGTGACAGCACCGCCGCCTCCACGTCGTTAGACACCCCTCGTATTATACGCGACTGTGTCCGAGCGTACAGCACTGCAGTCGAGGGGGCGCCACATCACCACAAAATCACGCCATGACGTGGCACGGCCTCGTGCTAGGAGTCGAGGGGGGAAGGCACGGGACCAGACGCCCTGGCCACCGCCACCACCGCCGCAGTCGCCCTGCGATTGGCTTGGCAGGGGCGCCGCCCCACTTTTTTGTCGCATTTCCGTGGAAATCCATGCCTGTCACGTGGTTTCTTTAGGGTATTTCACCTGCGACGGACGCGAATCGAGGGTCCAATTGCCCTGCATAGATGGTCAATTGCCCTAAAGAACAAACTTCAACCGTAACTCACGACGCCCACATCCTCCGCGACGCACACAACCCACGGCCGAATCGCAATGTCGTTGTTGGTTTCTACCTCGCTGGGCTCGCCAACATGTCCAATGCATCGCCCACGGTCGTGTAACCTATCTTTCATCTGTACAAGGGCTCGCCCGGCGAGCGGCCGCCCCAGGGGCGCCTCCATCCCCCGTCACATTGGTTGAAGTAGAAACGGATTGGCTGGTGGGAAGGAGACACGGTTCTGACGCGTCGTCGTCACGCAGTTTGAAGTAACGCCCCTGGGGCGATGACGCAGCCACGGGGAAGTATCACCCAATCAAATCGCTGGATTCACTGGCTGTGGGGAAATGACGCCATTTGATTGGCTTGCTCGTGGCTTCAAGTGGTCGACCAATCACAACGACGGAATAAGGTGGCGTGCGGAGATATTTTTTTACGATGGCAATAAAAAGCGAGATGCCGCTTGCACTTGAAATTTCTATACGATCTTTGGAGATGGCCCTTTCCATGGGCGATCTTCATTTTCCGATTCGACTTCCCCCGCGCAAGTGATTGTCCGCGATGAACCTCGAAGTCCGCCGCAGCACTTCCATGGAACACGGAACCTACAACAACAAGGACATCCAAGCGCAAGTACGTCCAGATGATGCTTGATGACTTGTGCATGCCGTCCTGAACGATCGTGTGTGGTGATTAGATTGCTGAAGTGGGCAAGATCCTTGCGCAAGGCTCGCTCTTTAGCGAAGCAACGTTGAAGAAGGAAATCGAGTGGTTCTACGGCCCGTTGGGTTTGCACGAGTTTTACTTCATGGGCCACTCCCCCGCGACGATCGCATCCCACATTGAAAGCTTGATCGGCGCCAAGGTCTTGACCAAGACGTCGGGCGTCGACCAAGAGTTCAAGCTCGTGCAAGAAAACGAAAAGTCGGCGTTCTTTGCGACTCGCTCCAACGTCCAAGGCGACGAAACCAAGTCGACTCGCTTGTCGGGCGGCTCGGACGTGTCCAACTTGGAACGCTTCATCGAAAAGCAATACTTGAGCTCGTCCACGGAATGCATTGGCGACGGAGTCAAGACCGGGTACCAATACCTTGAGCAACCGGAAACGACAAAGAACCGCCAATACCGCCTTCAATGCTACCGCTCGTCGGGCCTCTTGGACCCTCAATTGGTCCCTTCGCACATGCGCTTGTACTTTTTGCAAGAACCTGAATTTGTCAACCCGACCCCCGCGGAAGGCGAGACCGACATCAACCAATTGGCCGACAAGCACTTCCTTGAACGTGCCGGTGACAACTTGAAGAAGGTGTACCAACAAGTCCTCAAGACTGCGTCGAACCAAATGACGCCTGCGTTCCATACGGAAGTCTGGCTCGAGCCGGACAACACCAAGATGGCGCGCTTCACGGTCGCGTACAAGGCCGGCTCGACCCACAGCTACTTTTCGTCGCTGGCCGATGTCTACCGTGGCCATGGTCTCTTCTCGTCGCGCAAGTACGCCGAATACTTTTCCAACGGCGTCGTCATCTACGGCTTCTACTTGCAACAATTGACCGGCGAAGGCGTCAAGGGCAAGGGCACGTTCGAAGAGCGCGTTGCTGCCTGCGTGTCGGACGCTTCGCTCCACTACGTCTTGCCCCGCACGTCGTTGTCGCCATTGTTGCGCGACCACTTGCTGACCCCGCAACAAATTTCGTACGCGTATGCTGCGTGGAAGTTCACGTTCCACTTCTTGCAACGTTTGCCGGAAGCGTACTCGGTGGTGTCCAACTCGCTGCGCGATCGCGACGCCGTGGCATTTGCCCGCCTCGAACAATTGCGTTCGACGATGAAGCAAAACACTTTCACGGAAGCCCAAATCTTGGACCACTTGTTGGCGTCACCCGACGTGATCAAGGCGCTGTACGACGAGTTTGAAGCGCTCCACTCGCCGTCGTCCAAGGACCGCAACCGCAAGGAAGCCGACATCTTGTCGTACCTGCGCAAGGCCGTGTCGTCGGAAGCAGCGTTGACCGTGTTTACTCAATTCGTGAGCTTCAACCACCACGTCCAGCACACCAACTTTTTCCGCAAGGAAAAGTCGGCGCTCGCGTTCCGCTTGGACGGCGAATTCTTGCCGTCGACTGAATACGCGGAAAAGCCGTACGCGGTCATTTTTGTGATCGGGTCCGAATTCCGTGGGTTCCACACGCGCTTCTTGGACATTGCGCGCGGCGGCATCCGCATGATCCGTTCGTCGCATGCTCAAGTGTACTTGAACAACGTGTCGTCGTGCTTTGACGAAGGGTACGGGCTCGCATCGACGCAACAACGCAAGAACAAAGACATTCCCGAAGGCGGCTCCAAGGGTGTCATCTTGCTCAACTTGGCCCACCAAGACAAGGCCGACCTGGCGTTCAAAAAGTACATTGACGCGCTCTTGGACATCATGCTGCCTGAAAACGACGGCATCGTGCGCAAGCAACAGGACATTTTGTTTTTGGGTCCGGACGAAGGCACGGCGCACTTGATGGACTGGGCGTCGTCGTACGCAAAGTCCCGTGGGTACAACTACTGGAAGGCGATCACGACAGGCAAGTCGCCGTCGCGCGGTGGGATTCCCCACGACGAGTACGGCATGACGACGCACTCGGTGCGCGAATTCGTCAAAGGCATCCAAGCCAAGCTCAACTTGAAGGCCCCTGGCGCCAAGCGCTTGACCAAGGTCCAAACCGGCGGCCCCGATGGCGATCTCGGGTCGAACGAAATCCTCATGTCGGAAGGCGAAGACACGATCGCGCTTGTCGACGGCTCGGGTGTGCTGTACGACCCCAAGGGCTTGAACCGCGACGAATTGGTCCGCTTGGCCAAGCTCCGGTCGCCCGTCCAAGGTTTCAACACGTCGCTGTTGTCGCCGGAAGGGTACCTCGTGCTCATCACGCAAAACGACGTCAAGCTCCCCAGCGGTGAAATCGTCGAAAACGGCACGCAATTCCGCAACAACTTCCACAACCGTCCCGACTTGACCGCCGACTTTTTTGTCCCGTGCGGTGGCCGCCCCGCCGCCGTCAACTTGAACAACGTGCACTCGTTCATGTACGGCCCGGACGGCAAGTCGCTTCGCTTCAAGTACATTGTCGAAGGCGCCAACTTGTTTTTCACGCAGGACGCTCGTCTTGTGCTGGAAAAAGCTGGCGTTGTCTTGTTCAAGGACGCGTCGGCCAACAAGGGCGGTGTGACGTCGTCGTCGCTCGAAGTGCTCGCGGCGCTGTCCCTGAACGACGCCGAGTTTGCCGAGCACATGGCGGTCGAACCCAACAAGCCCAAGCCTGCGTTTTACCAAAAGTACGTGGCCGAAGTGCAAGCCCGCATCGACAACAACGCGGCGCAAGAATTCGAGTGCTTGTGGCGCGAACACCAGCGCTCCAAGACCCCGTACGCGATCCTGTCCAACTTGTTGTCGGAGCGCATCACGGACTTGAGTGTGACGATCCAAGACTCGTCCTTGTACGAACAAGTCGCGCTCCGCAACCTCATTTTGGACGGCGGGTTCCCCAAGACTTTGACAACCCTCCTCTCGCGCGACGAACTCATCAAGCGCCTCCCGGAATCGTACCTCCGCGCGCTCTTTGCGTCGCAACTCGCGTCGCGCTTCGTGTACGCGTCGGGCCTCCACTGCCCCGAATTCGCCTTTTACGAATTCGTTCAAACCCTCAAGAACTAAACCACCGCCACCCTAACTACTGCTGTATAAAGACACCTATTCTCTCGACCCGATCACGCATGCACCGACTCCCGGCCAACGTGCGCACAATCGTGAAGCCGAGTCGTCAGCGCATGCTGCGTCGCCGCGATTTGCGCCAGGAGCGCGTACGTAGGAATCGTCGACATCCCGACCCGCCAAGGTAACGCGCACGCTTCCTCGCAAAGGCACGGCACGTCCACCCGCACGTTGGCGGCGGGGGGACGTCCCGTTTGCATCGACCTTGCAGTGCTGAGGCGCATGACGCATTCTTTGACGGGTAAGACATCCATGAGGGGGTGCTGTCACTGTGGTGCACCTCAGGCATTGCTCATGCTCTTTCGGCCATGCGCTGCCGACGTCGACGCGCCAACGACTCTGTCCAGGAGAGATGGCAACATTCGGTGGGACTGCATGCGTTGTGGACGAGTTTCAAGATGGGGGAAAATTGCCAAAGTCGTGTTCGCCATGGCGATGGTCGCCACCCTCAACTCGGCGACAACATGGTGGATCGCTGTTCGAGGCCATGGCGCTCTAGTTGAAAGAATGCGCGCATCGTTTGCAGACCGCACAGCACGAGCACGCACGATGGGCACAGCCGAGTGGACCTTTGCACGCGCATCCGTGGTCGGTCGTCGGTGCCGCGGTCGGCAACGCGCGCCGAGTTTGGCCAGCCACCGCCGCTGCCCCAGCAGGACGGACCATCTTGACAAGTGTCGAGAAGCGGCGCATGGACTGTGAGCTCGTGCAAGGCAAACGAAAAATGGCCGGCGTCGTTTCATCCGACAAGCGCAATCTTCACTGGGCTTCTTCGTCGTAAAACCGTCGTCTCTCCCCCACATCATGAGGCGGCACGTCCTCGCTCGGTCGCAGCGACGACGTTTCGTAGGCGGCGACGGCATCCCTCCAAGCAAACGGGGCCTCCCGCGGAGAGGAGCGCTCGGCGATGGAACGACCCTCGATGAAGCGTCTGTCGTCACGGACTAGCCGACGGGGGCATGGTGTGGCCTTGCTCGGTCTCCCCAACGACGTCGGTGGGCTCGGGAG